CCTCCTCCTCCTCCTCCTCCTCCTCCTCCTCCTCCTCCTCCTCCTCAGGCAACCCCCTGGTAGGCACGCTGCCCTGGAGGCGCCTCCCCCCCAGAGGGGACCGACGACCCTGAGACCCTGGCGACTCCATTTTCTCGAGCCGGGCGTCTTCGCTCCATCTCGGGCCCGGGGGCCCTCACAGCCGGATCGGGCTCGAAACAAAAAAAGACGGCCGCGGAAAGCGGGCGTCTGGGGCTCCGGGCGTGATCTTCACGGAACGCTGCATGTCTTTCGCTGCGTCGCATCGCCGGGAGGTGCGCCGCCCTCCCAGCGTCAGGGGGGGAGGGAGGAAGGACGGCGGCAAAGGGGGGTCACGGACGGCGGCCATACATCCGCATCCGCGCCCTCGCGGCCTGGCTTCCGGGGCGCGGCCCCGCGGAGGCGCAGTCGCACGGGCGCGCTCCGCGAGGGGCATCCGCGAACACAGCGCACCGTGTCCGCGGGGCCGCGGCCCGGGGGGCCTGGCCCGCGAGGCCGCGGCCACAGCTTCTGGCAGAGCAATTGGCCGATTAAGACGGTGATTCATCACCGGGCACTGCACTGCCAGACCCCCGACGTCGTGATTTTTTCACAACGTCGATCCCCAGCGGTCTGGACCCTTTCCCTGGGACCGGTTTTTCATCCTGAATCGCTTTTTGACGGTCCCGAGGCCCGGGAAGGGCCCCAGGAGGCCGAAAACAGCGGAAAACCTCCCGCCGTGATTTTTTCACGACGCGAGGAGGTCTGGGCGGATGGACTCGTGACCTCTCGGGGAACCTTTGGGGAAGTGTCTGCGCCCGCGTCAGGGGGCCGAGTCCGCGAGAGGCCACGGGGGGGCGGGCAGGCCCGCCGAGGAGGCCCAGGCGCTGGGCAGGGGGCGCCCCGGGACAGCCGAGGTCGACCTTGAGGGACCAGTGGCCCATGCCTAAATCTCTATTCCTTATGATTATTAAACCTTGAACTCTACCGCCCTATGCGTCCTGACCGTTGGTGAACTTCTGAGGTCCACTTTCCCTATGAAAAAACACTATAAACTTAACATTCTGCCTTTCAACATGCTCCATCATATGCAAAAATACTATAAAATACGATATCCTGATCATTATTCGTTTCTGATGTGTACTTTCCATTGTAAAAAAAACAATATAAACTCAACAATTTGCTCTTGCAAGATGTGTCCATGTCAATAATCCATTGCAGAAAATACGACAGATTGCACATGCGCGCGGCAGCCGCGCGCGCCTCGCAGCGCCTATCTGTTTAGCTATGCTATGCTATGCTGTGCTACAGCCACGCTGTAACAAAAGGTTCTCCAAATTTTGGGGACCTCGCCTCTTTGCTATCTCTGCTTTGCTACGCTATGCTATGCTACAGCCACGCTATAACATCAGGTTCCTCAAATTTTGGTGACCTCGCCTCTTTGCTAAGCGCTTGCTATGCTATGCTATGCTACAGCCAGGTATAACATGAGAGGAGAGATGATCTTTATGTGGGGGTGGAGATGCGGGGGGATTGATAGCCACCGCAGGTGAGTGCCTATGCAGGTAGGTATTCCTGGCCTTGCCCTGTTAGACCCTAAACCCTAAACCCTAAACCCTAAACCCTAAACCATCGGCCTGGCCCAAGGAACGATACATAAGGAACGAGGCCCCTTTTTATCCCAAGGAATAACGCATAAGGAACGATGAATAACAAATAACGCACAAGGAGCTGTAAACAACGCATGTAAACCTGAGGAACGACCGAGCCCCTTTTGAAAAGCAAGTGCTCCTTATGCAAGCCGCTCACTGTACGTCTCCTGCCATCCTCGGGGCCATCTCGTGGCTTGGCGTTCCCTGGCCGCCCTGGATTCTATTGGGGCGTCGTCAGGGCGACACGCGGCGGCGTGCACAGGCCTGTGGACACACGAACGTCGCCTGTCCTGCAAACTTGCGCAGCGCGCGCTTTGGGAAGCCTTGGGCCCTCCGGCCACCTTGGGGCTTACGCGAAGTCACACTGGGGCGATGTCGGGGCCTGGGGACATATAAAAGATTGGGGTTATCTGGTCGGCAGCGTGGGCGCCTATTCGGGGGCCTCATCGGGCCATCGGGCCTCGCGAGAGGCAGCTTGGGACCTATCAAAATGGGGCCCCCTCTTGTTGCCCAGGGAAGGACGTTGGCGCAGGGAAGGGACTTGGAGGTGGACCAGGAGGTGGTGAAAGAGAGAGAGGGAGAGAGAGCGAGAGAGAGAGAGAGAGAGAACGCGGGAGAGAGAGAGAGAGAGACAACAAGGAGAGAGAGAGAGAGATACATCTATATGTAGAGAGAGAGAGAGAGAGAGATAAACAACCAAACAAGGAGAGAGAGCGAGACAGAGAGAGAGGGAAAGAGGGAGAGAAAGAAAGAGAGACAGAGACACAGATGGAGAGAGAGAGAACAAAGAAAAAAAACAAGAGAGAGAGAGAGAGAGCGGCACCGCCACGACCACCGCGACCACTGCAAACGACGACCGCTCCCACGACCTCCGCGCCCCCCCCCCCTGTCGGCGTCCACCGTCCGCCCCCGCCACCCCCACCACCACCCCTCCTTTACCCCCCTCGGCCCAGCCGCCCTTGGATGCCATGCGCCAACCTCCTCCTCCCTCCCCTCCTCCTCCTCCTCCTCCTCCTCCTCCTCCTCTTACTCCTCTTCCTCCCCCCCCTCCCTCTCCTCCTCCTCCTCCTCCTCCTCCTCCTCCTCCTCCTCCGCCGCCTCCCCTCCTCCTCCTCCTCCTCCTCCTCCTCTTCCCCTCCCCCTCCCTCCTCCTCCTCCTCCTCCTCCTCCTCCTCCTCCGCCTCCCTTGCATCAAATCCTGCGCCTCCCGATGGGCCTCCTCCGCCTCCCCTCCTCCTCCCTACCTCCTCCTCCTCTTTCGCCTCCTCCTGCTCCTCATCCTCGTCGTCGTCCTCCTCCTCCTCCTCCTCCTCATCCTCCTCGTCCTCCTCTTCCTCCTCCTCCTCCCCCTCCCCTCCAAATGTTCTGGCGCTGTGCCTGCCGTGGTTTTTGGCGCCAGGCCGCCACTGCCTGGGCCTGGCTGTCCCCTGAGTGCCTAGAGCTGACTTTCTCTGCCCCTCACCCCCTTATTCATATATATATATATATATATATTATGCACATAGAGAAAGAGATAATGACCGATACACATATATAGAGAGAGAGAGAAAGAGAGAGAGAGAGGGAGATAAGCACACATGTATATTATATACACATACATAGATGTGCACAGAGAGACAGAGAAGAGGCATAGAGAGGTAGAGAGAGAGGAACAAATACAAGAGCGAAAGAGCAACATGAAGTAATACATAATGAAAGACAGACATACCACCAAGCATCGCAAGGATGGGTCTGATGATCAGCATTGCATCCAGAGACGACGAGGAGGAGGGCGGGGGAGGAGGGAGGGGGGGGGTACCTTGGGAGCAGGAAGAGCCCGGGCCTCAGCCTTCCCCTGTTTCTCTCGGCCCCACCTCCGGCCGGCTGGCCGGCACCCCGGCCGTGGCCGACAGCAGGAGCAGCTCCTGTGCCAGCGTAGGCACCTGCGGGCCACAGCAAAGGACAAACGTCTGTGGGGCTCGGGCGCGGAAGAGAAGGAGGAGGAGGACGAGAAGGAGGAGGAGGAGGAGGAGGAAGGGAGGTGGAGAGGAGGAGAGGTGGAGATGAGGAGGAAGGAGGAGGAGGAGGAGGAGAGGAAGGAGAGGAGGAGGAGGGAGGAGGGAGGAGGGAGGAGGGAGGAGGGAGGAGGGCCCCGCGCCCGCGCCCAGATGCCACACGGCGACGAGGCGGCGCGGAAAGCGCGGCCGCGACCCGCGGGCAGCGCCCCGTGCCACCGAGCCAGGAGAGTCTGCCTGCTCCTCCCCCTCCTCTCTCCTCCTCCTCCCCTCCTACCTCCTCCTCCTCCTCCGCCTCCTCTCCTCCTCCTCCCCACCTCCCCTCCTCCTCCTCCTCCCCCTCCTCCTCCTCCTCCTCCTCCCCCTTCCTCCTCCGCCCCTCCCTCCTCCTCCTGCCGCCTCCTCCTCCTCCTCCTCCCTCCTCCTCGCTCCTCCTCCTCCCCCCGCCGAGGGGGAGGAGGAGGAGGAGGAGGAGGAGGAGGAGGAGGAGGAGGAGGAGGAGGAAGAGCGTGAACGAATGGCCAGAGCCAAGTCAGGGTCAGACTCGGAACCAGAGGAGCAGCGCTACAATGCGCCCAGCACGCGTCACTAATGCTGCAATGCACCCTCCCGTCCGAAGTCCCCTCCTCGTGTCGCCCCTGGGCGCTACAGGGCGGACGACCCCCTCGTAACCCGTCGGCCGAACAAGTAGCAAAGCTGAGATACATGCGATATGAAACGATCATGCAATGAGCCACCAACCTTCTGCCTCGGCCAGTACCGGCCCCAACGTGCGCCGATCGCCCGACGGGGGCACCGACTACCACGAGTCAATCAAACAAGGAGGCGCCGAGCGGCAAGGGAGGACCCCCAAGACCGCAGAGCAGGGGCCCTGAGACCATGGGGTGAACCCTGCAATGTATCGCTGGGTGGAGTACCAGTTGGGCCACAAAGACTGGACCCTTCAATGAACCGCCAACTGCTGCAATGCAAGCCATAAGACCACCGTGTGAACCCTGAACTCGCCATCGCTCGGACGTCCATTCCCTGTGTTTTTCTCGGTTTCGCGCGTGGTTTTTTCGCCAAATGATCAAGGATGCTCCTCGATGGTTCTCGCCGCGAAGAGGATGCACACGTCCGAGCGATGCCAGGTGAAGGGGACCGAGCGGAGGTGGACCGCAAGGGTGGGCCGTTCACTGGGTCGCCCACTGGCCCGTTGCGAGGCGCCTCGAGGAGAAGACCGGGCGAACCACAAAGCGCGCAGGGGCACGTGAGACGTCACGCCGTCTGCTCGAGGAGCACTTGCTGGGTAGCCCCGGGCGCCGTTGGGGGAAGCTGCGCCCGATATTGAAAGACAAGCACAATAGAGGGAAAAGAACTATGCACATGCACCGATTCTGGCCAGGCCCGTCCTGAGCCCAGGATCGGTGCATACGCCCTCCTACCTTGGCCAGGAAGGCATATGCACCGATCCTGGGTCAAAAATGGGCCTTGCCAGGATCGGTGCATGTGCATAGTTCTCTTCGCCCGACACGAATCAATGTCGCAAGCCTGTCCCTGACCCTGTTTCGCGCCGCGCGTGAAGCTGTGCGCGGCCCGCTTAGCCTCGACCGGAAGAGGTGCGCTCTCGACCCGCGGATCAAAAAGTTTCGCGCCGCGCGCAGCGTAGCAGCAGTGACGCAGGAGATGGAGCTACAGTCGGGCTGCTGAAACAAGGAACGTTAACTAAGGAGCGAAGCTCCTGTGTTGGCACCCGAAAAGCATGGGTGTACGAGGAGGGCCACAGGAACAATCACGGAGCTACCTACTCAGGAACAGCGAGTCGCTTCCGAACCCAAAGCGATCCTTCGAGCGAGGCCAGATCCCCGGCAACCGCGCAGTGACCCCGAGGACTGTGTACCTGCAAGACGGCTTCGACTCGCCACCGATGTTTTTTGTGTTATATGTCTCTTTCTCTTTCTCTTTTGTGTTGCTCTCTCTCTCTCTCTCTTTCCCAACCATCCTGTGGTGTTGGGTCCTCGTTTTGAAGAGACAGCGCCCCGCGTTCCCACTCCTCCTCCCGCTGCCCCCATCCCTCCTCCCATTTTCATCATCATCGACGATGATTCATCGTCATCATCATCGTCATCGTCATCATCATCACCATCATCGTCGTCATCGTTATCGCTCTTATCATCATCATCATCATCATCATCATCATCATCATCATCATCATCATCATCATCATGATCATCATCATCATCATCATCATCATCATCATCATCATATTCATCATCCTCATCCTCATCCTCATCCTCATCATCATCATCATCATCATCATCATCATCATCATCATCTTCATCATCATCACCATCATCATCATCATCATCATCATCATCATCATCATCATCATCATCATCATCATCATCATCATCGTCATTACCACCATCATAGGCACACCCCTCGCACGTTTCGTGGCCCCATAGGGAGCTCCACCAAAGGCCCTAGTGACTGCGTTCGCATGCGCCCGCAGCACGCTTGTCGGCACACCCCTTACACGGTTCGTGGCCCCATAGGGAGCTCCACCGAAGGCTTCAGTGGCTGCGTTCGCATGCGCCCGCCGCACCCATTTCGGCACACCCCTCACACGTGTCGTGGCCCCACAAGGAGCTCCACCGAAGGCCCCAGTCGCTGCGTTCGCATGCGCCCGCCGCACCCATTTCGGCACACCCCTCACACGCGTTTTGGTCCCATAGGGAGCTCCACCGAAGGCCCTAGTGCCTACGTTCGCATGCGCCCGACGCACCCATTTCGGCACACCCCTCACACGGCTCGTGGCCCCATAGGGGGTTCGACCGAAGGCTTCAATGGCTGCGTTCGCATGCGCCCGACGCACCCACTTCGGCACACCCCTCACACGTTTCGTAGCCCCAAAGGGAGCTCCACCGAAGGCCCCAGTCGCTGCGTTCGCATACGCCCGCCGCACCCATGTCGCACACCGGCACACACCATCACACGATTCGTGGCCCCACACGAGCTCCACCGAAGGCCCCAGTGGCTGCGTTCGCATGCGCCGCCGCACCAATGTCGGCACACCCCTCACACTTTTCGTGGCCCTACAGGGAGCTCCACCGAAGGCCCCCGTGGCTGCGTTCGCATGCGCCCGCCGCACCCATTTCGACACACCCGTCACACGTTTCGTGGCCTCACAAGGGAGCTCCACCGAAGGCCCCAGTGGCTGCGTTCGCATGCGCCCGCCGCACCCATTTCGGCACACCCCTCACACGTTTCGTGGGCCCACAGGGAGCTCCACCGAAAGCTCCAGTGGCTGCGTTCGCACGCGCCCGCCGCACCCATTTCGGCACACCCCTCACACGTTTCGTGGCCCCACACGGAGCTCCACCGAAGGCCCACATGGCTGCGTTCCCATGCGCCCGCCGCGCCCATGTCGGCACACCCCTCACACTACAGGGACTCCACCGAAGGCCCTCGTGGCTGCGTTCGCACGCGCCCGCCGCACCCATTTAGGCACACCCCTCACACGTTTCGTGGCCCCACAGGGAGCTCCACCGAAGGCCCAAATGGCTGCGTTCGCATGCGCCCGCCGCACCCATCTCGGCACACCCCTCACACTTTTCGTGGCCCTACAGGGAGCTCCACCGAAGGCCCCAGTGGCTGCGTTCCCATGCGCCCGCCGCACCCATTTCGGCACACCCCTCACACGTTTCGTGGCCCCACAGGGAGCTCCACCGAAGGCCCCCAGCGGCTGCGTTCGCATGCGCCCGCCGCACCAATTCAGGCACACCCCTCACACGTTTCGTGGCCCCACAGGGGGCTCCCTCTCATTTGTCTAACCTGGTTTGCGGCACCTGCAATTTCATATGGTTGGGCCCCTCGCCAGGATAATGTTCGTTTTCTATCTCTCTCTCTCGCTGCCACGGCCCCGGGGGCTCCAAAAAGAGACCACCGGCAGAGTGGGCGTCCAGGACAGGCCAGGAAGGGGCGGCGCCGGCGGTCCAGAGAGAAGGGAGAGGGAGACCAAGAACAGCACGCCGATAGATATGCACCCACGGGAAGAACACGGTCGGGAGCTTCTGGATGGCGTGTCGCCACGGCGGCCCTGGCGACACGCTACGCCCTGGAAGTGGATCACGTGTCGCTCCGCTCCGAGGGGTGGGAGACGGGGAAAAGCTCGGCGCATGGAAGCCTGGGGGCTGCGACCTGGATGGCGTGCCGCGCCGAGGCTCGGTGGGCCAGAACCGGCAGACCGACACACCATCCAAAATTCCCGACCGTACGACGCCTCATGGCAAGCCGGGGTTGCCCTTGGCGCCGGCGGTAGGCCGCGCCGATGTCCGCTTGAAACCGCAGGATGCCTTCCCCGCCAGACATGTCGCACAACAATTGAGCGACATCACACAACGGATCGACCGCTTCCTTCCTCGTCGGCTACACGCAAGAGCAACCATGAGCAAGGGTAACCTTTGGCGCGCGGCTAAAAGGGGGACGCGGGGTGGCCAAACCTGGGCGCACAAACCGCTGCTACTCTGTGTCCCTCAATAATTTTGGGGCCCCGGACTACAGGTACCCCCCGGACTACAAGTACCCCTCCCCCGGACTACAGGTACCCCCCCCCCGGACTACAGGTACCCCCCCCGGACTACCCCCCCGGACTACAAGTACCCCCCCCCGGACTACAGGTACCCCCCCCGGACTACAGGTACCCCCTAGCCCCAGGAATACAAGCACCCCAGACTACAAGTACCCCCCAGCGCTCCCCCCCTGGACTACAGGTACCCCCCCCCCACTACCCCCCCCGGACTACAGGTACCCCCCCCCAGACTGCAGGTACCTCCCCCCGGACTACAAGTACCCCCCCCCCCGGACTATAGGTACCCCCCCCGGACTACAAGTACCCCCAGAACTATTGAGGGACACAGAGTACATCAGAGTACCGCTTCTTCGCATTCAGCAGCCGGGGGACCCCTTTGGGCCCGCCACAAAGGTCGCTCCGGCGAAAGGTCACAGCTTGCGTCTCTGGCCATCGCTCGGACGCCCATTCCCTGTGTTCTTTTCTCCGCTTCGTGCGTGGATTTTTCGCCCAATGATCAAGGATGATCCTCGATGGTCCTCGCCGAAGGAAAAATGCACGCGTCCGAGCGATGCCAAGGTCTGGTCGACCTCAAAGCGCCGACGCGTCAGCCGGCGCCTCCGCGCCAGCCGCGGGCCGCGGGGTCCACGGCAGCGTGAGGCAGAAGGCCGCCAGGCGGCCGGGCCTCGAGCGAGTCGCGAGCCAGCCCGGAGCGAGGAGGTGGGGAGGGGGACGAGGGGGGGGAAGCCTCCTCCTCCTCCTCCTCCTCCTCCTCCCTCCCTCCGTGTCCGTGTCCGTGTCCGTGTCCGTGTCCGTGTCCTCGTCGTCGTCCTCCTCCTCCTCCTCCTCCTCCTCCTCGTCCCTCTTCCTCCTCCTCCTCCTCCTCCTCCTCCTCCTCGTCCTCGCCCTCATCCTCATCCTCATCCTCATCCACCTCCTCCTCCTCCTCCTCCCCCTCCCGCTCCCCCTCCTCCTCCTCCTCCTCCTCCTCCTCCTCCTCCTCCTGCTGCCGCAGCCCCAGCACCCTTCCACCTTTGGGACGGGTGTCCAATGGGGCAGGCGTGTGAAGAGCGCATGTCCACGTCCGATAAGAGCCCTCTCGCCCCCTTTGGGGCCGAGTCGATGAACCACGAAGCACTCTTATCCAACCAGTCCACCACCCTCCCCGACAAAGGGAGGCCAGGCCCGGAGTGCCCAGGCAGCCCAACGGGAGGCGGTGTACACGAAAGCGCAGGAACGGCAGAACGCAGTCTCCTCCTCCTCCTCCTCCTCCTCCTCCTCCTCCTCCTCCTCCTCCCTCCTCCCTCCTCCCTCCCTCATCCCTCCTCCCTCCTCCCTCCTCCCAACCCAACGACGACGGCGACCGGCACCGAGAGGCTCATCAGCGGCACCCCCAGCCAGGCCACGCCCTTGGAGCGCAGGATCGCAGCGATGGTGGCGGCGATCGACGCCTGCAGGGAGTCCGCGGTTGTCGTTGTCGCCGTGTTCGCGGTCGTCGTCGTGGTCGTGGTCGCCGTGGCCGTCTTGGTCTTGGCCGTCGCCATGGTGGTCGTCGTTCGTCTTGGTGAGCGTCGTCGTGGCCGTCGTGGTAATTTGGTCGTGGTCATCGTCGCTGTGGTCGTCGTGGTAGTCGTCGTCGTCCTGATCGTGGTCGTCGTGGTCGTCGTCACCACCGCCGCCATCGCTGTCGTCGCCTGTCCCCTGGAGGAGGAGGAGGAGGAGGAGGAGGAGGAGGAGGAGGAGGAGGAGGAGGAGGAGGAGGAGAAGGAGGAGGAGGAGGAGGAGAAGAAGGACGAGGAGGAGGAGGAGGAGGAGGTGAAGGATGAGGAGGAGGAGCAGGAGGAGGAGGAGAAGGAGGAGGGGGAGGCGGAGGAGGAGGGACCGAGGGAGGGAAGGAGTGCTTTCGGAGGCTGAACCAGCTACAAGGTTCTAAAATATCTGGAGGGGTTCTAGGAGGGAGGCGGGAGGGAGAAGGGAGGAGGGGACAGGAGCAATTCTGCAGGCATCCGAAGGATGTCTTTAGGACCCCTAACCAGTGTCTATACAGGATGCCGAATGATCTCTTCATGAGTTCAATCGACTTCCTCACGAATCCACAGGATCCCACGGGAATCCGCATGAAGTCTTCCGTAACCCAAAGGACTCCATGGAATCCCAAGAAGTCGACCGATTCTATGGATAACCGAAGGAATCCTGAGGATTACATCAGGATCCTGAGCGATTTCTAAAAAGGACCTCTCCAGATTCCAACGCTAAAGCACTCTGAATAATTAGGATTCTGAAAGGGGGTTCCTCGGGATCCGAGTATTTCATCCAGAAGCCAACAAGATGTCCGACGGACCCGCGTAGGATGTTCGACGAAAGCCTTACAAGTTCGAAGGGGCCCACATGATGTCCCAAGGGATATCTAAGAAGGATGCCCGAAGGAATTAAAAATATCGCCTCAGGAATCCCAAGGGCTCCCGGAGCGTCCCAACAAAATTAGTCTCGCACCGCATGGCGCACGTCCGAATCGCGTTGCGGCGCACATGCAACGGCAGGATGATGCCTGCTGGAGGCCTCCTCGGATCTGATGCTGGGCTTCTTGGGTGACTCTTGGAGACCTCGGGGGGGGGGCCTCTTAGGGGATGTTTGAAGCCTCCTGGAAGCCTTTGGGGGGGCCTCTGGGGCTTCTGGGGGCTTTGGGGGACACCTTGGGGATCGACTGGGCCTTCTTGAGACCTCCTAGGTCCTCTTGGAGGTCTATTCGGTCATCTTGGAGGCATCTTTTTTTTTGTTTGCTCTCTCAGCGCAGGCTGAGGGGTACCTCTCGCAGCTGGATGTGTGTGAGAGCAGCGTAAGGTGTTTGCCACATTGGGCCTTACACTGACGGAGGACTCCTGCAACATGTTCTCGGAAGCAGCTTGCGGATCCAACGAAATTCTCATAATTGTAAGTGCACAGAAGGAGCCCCTAAGTCGGCGCTCGAATGTCGAGCGCTCCGCTGGAGAGATCTCCCCGACACGACCTCTGCTCCATGCCTCCCGGCGGAGGCGAGGAAGCGAGTCGACGGATGGGGACAGAAAACTGCCGCGGCACCGAGCTGACATACATCTGCACTGTACAAACCCAGACCCCCGACGTCGTGATTTTTTCACAACGTCGACCCCCTGAGGTCTGGACCCTTTCCCCGGGACCGGTTCTTCGTCCTGAGTCGTTTTTTGACGCTCCCGAGGCCCAGTAAGGGCCCCCGGAGGCCGAAAATATAGAAAAACCTCCCGTCGTGATTTTTTCACGACGCGAGGAGGTCTGGGAAGATTCCCAGCCTGCGCCTGGGGGACGTGCCGGATCCAGCTGCAGGCGCAGGCGGGGGGGGCCATCGGTCCCCCCCGCCCACCCCGCCAGGGCGGGCACGCAGCCTCAGACACGTGTCGGCTTTGTTGAAGGGGCCCTGGGACACACAAATAAATACACACAAATAAAAATATTCCCCATATTTTCCCATATTTTCTGGGTTTTTGTCTTCTCCACCACTTCCCATATTTTCGCATATTTTCCGGGGAATCGACGATTAATTGTGTCTGTGTGTTTTTTCCTCTCCTGATTTGTGGGTTCCGGAGCCAGCGATGCCTGGCTCCAGGAGAGCCGCAGCTCACCAAAAACGCACAAAAATCCCAAGCCGGCGAACTGGCTACGCACATGGTGCCCAACGTATAGTCTTCCAAATCGTGCGCGCGCGGGTATCCGCGCGAGCCGGCGCTCTGCTGCCTCGATGACGGAAAAAGGGCAGCCCTAGTGGGCGTACGTCATGCCAGCCGCAAGAATCGGCAAATGGTGCACTCGGCACCAGGGTATAATAACTGCAGGTCGATTCAACTGCTGTTGGTCGTTGGAAAATAACGACTTCTCCAAAAGAGCCGTCAACACCGCTGCACGGAACATGCGAAGGCACAGGCGCGACAAAAACTCGCGCACCATCGCGCTCCCGAGGCAAACTGATGAAAGCGGAGCAGCGCTGGAAGTAAGCGCCCGGGATGCGGCCCCGGGCCACCTGGCAAAGCGGGCGGCTGGCCAGTGCCACGCCTACCCGCATACGGGGCCAATTCCCGCGGATCCTACTCATCGCGCGTCCCTGGTCTGGGCGCCGGCACGGGCCCACCTTCGCGCCTCGCTGGCGACGAAGCTGCCGTAGACGGATCGCTTGAACTTGGAGTCCTTCGCTTCCACCTCGAGGACCTTGCTCACCAAGCGGCGCCGGTCGGTGACGGAGCAGTGCTTCATGGCGTGCTGGACAACGTGGCTGGCATACTTGTTCTCTGCGAGCTTGGCGAAGCTCTTGTCCTCCTCCCCGACCAGCACCGCGGCGATGCGGGACCTGTGCTCGCTCGGCCCGTGTTCCAAGATGCACTGCACCACAAAGTTGCCGAAGCGGGAGACATCAATGCCTGCAAGTCGCCCTCACTGAGCAGAGCCTCCAGCCACGGGGCGACGTCCTCTTCGGGGAAGTGCTCGATGAGGCGCTGGAAGATGCGGCACCCGAACTTGCTGTGCGCCGCCTTGGTGACGCCACCCACGAGCATCTCGTCGCAGATGAAACGGCAATCCTTCAGAGGGAGGGCCTCGACGCACTTCTGCAGCACGCAGTTGGCTCGCGGAGCCGCCGCCGTGGACTCCCGGGAATCGTTCACGTGCCCCTTCAGCTCCGCCACCAGCCTGCCCCTGTCCTCGGCGCCAGCGGCGAGGAGCGCCTGCTGCCGCAGCTGCGTGCCCCGCGGCGCCGCCGCCAGCCGTCACACGTGGCCCTGCAGGGACGCGGCGGCCTGCCCCAGCTCCTCGGCCGGGAGCTGCGAGAGCCGCTGGACCAGCTGCTCTCTCGAGCTCGGTGAGCTCGATGACGTCCACAGGCGGACCAGCGGCGGTGGCCTCCCTGTGCGGCGCGGCCTGCGTCGGGGGGGTCTGCGCGGGCGGCGCAGGCCGCGCGGGCTCGGGCGGCGCGGGGGGCGCAGGGCCGTGCACCATGGCCACTGGGAAGTGGCCCGGGGTCATGGGCGGGGCCTGCAGCCAGCATCCCTGAAGCTGGGGCGTGGCAGCGGCCGCATCGGCGCGGTCATCTTGGAGGCATCTTGGGGCCCTCTTAGGCCGACTTGAGGCCCTCTTGGGCCGTCGCTGGGGCATCTTAGGCCGCCGTGGGGCTCTCTCGACGGCCTCTTGGGGCCCCCATTACAAGCATAGTGGGCCGCATTGGGCTCCCGCAAGTCAAGAGCGATACAATCACACCAGAGCCTCAGGACAACCAATGATTCGGGCTTGTGGAAGCATTATTAGGGGTCACCTTGGGACTGGATTGGCCCGTCTTGGGGGGCTTTTAGTCCTCATTGAGGCAATGCTTAGCCGTCTTGGGGCCCTCTTGAACCATCTTGAGGCCGTTTTGGGCTGTATTGGACCCTCCAGAAGCGCAAGGAGCCGAACACAGTGATGTTAAATGTGTGCTCGTAGCTTCTTGAAAGCCACAAAGGGTCAGACGATCTTAGTATGACTGGTGTGGTGCGGCGCTGGCGAGGGGGGGAGGGTAAGGGGGAGCTACACATAATCAGAAAGTACAAAGTCACACACGTGTGATGTGGTAGGCTGCCTGAGCGTTAGAATCGTGGGACGCAAGCGCGAGGCGCAAGACCGACGAGCGCTGCCGCTCGGCACGCGGCTGCGCGTCGCTGCTGGACGTGTGCTCGCCGCGGAAGGGAACACATTCGGCGGCCTTCGCATCAGAACTAATGCACCACCTCTGCCCGATGCCTCGGGGACGGTCGCTGCTCTCCGAAGGTGGGCCTGGCCAGAATTGCCTTCAGATCGGGCGCGGCGTGGGATGGCGCTGGCGCGGGAGACGGCATGTAAAGATCACTAGGCACGCACACACACACACATACACACACACACACCGACCTGGCTATCATCTGTGGGGGGGGGGGAGGAGGGAGGACGACGAGGGGCAGGAGGTGGAGGAGGAGCATCCACAGGAGCAGGATGGCGGAGAGGCGCGAGGAGCAGGAAGCGCAGGGACCAGGAAGCAGGGCGCAGGCGGCAGGCTGAGCGGGAGGGCGCAGGGCACAAACCACTGCAGGAAGGACGGGAGGCCGGCGGGCGACCGAGGTGAGGGGAACGAGGAGGACCAGCAGCAGATCCAGCGCGCGACCCTAGGGAACGCTGCATCCAGGAGCGAAGGGGCCGTTCTGGACATGGCGAGCCTCGGCCGCGAGCCGTTGCCCGTCCCAGATCTGAGATCCAGCGCGCGACCCTAGGGAACGCTGCATCCAGGAGCGAAGGGGCCGTTCTGGGCATGGCGGGCCTCGGCCGCGAGCGGCTGCCCGTCCCAGCTCTGGGCGGCGGCCCGAACGCCCGCCGCCCCTCCCCGAGCCCAGCGCGTGCCCACATTGTCCGCGCGCCTGGGCTGCCTCGGCATCAAGAGGGCGAGGGCGAGCGCAGGAGGTGTGGGAGGATGGAGAGAACACGTACTCCGACAGATGGAGGATGGAGGATGGAGGAGGATGGAGGATGGAGGACGTAGGAGGATGGAGGATGGAGGATGGAGAAGGAGGAGAAGGTGGAGGAGGATGGAGGATGGAGGATGTAGGAGGATGGAGAGGATGGAGGATGGTGTACGAGGAGGTGCAGGAGGATGGAGGAAAGGTGTACTCCGACGTTGTCGCTTCAAGATTCTTGTCGGGCCGCTGGACTAAGGAACGGTGAACGAGGAACGACGCCCCTCTTTGGCCCCCAACAGCGCCAGCGTGCACGAGGAGGGCCAGAGGAACACCCACAGAAGGACCTAAGGAACATCGAGCCCCTTCCGAACCCAAACGGTCCCGTGTTTCAGCGTCTTGACTATGCTTCGACGGGGTCGGCCAGCCTGGTGCAGCAACATCTGCGGGTTCGCCAGCAGCGTCCCGCGAAGCTCCTGCCCCACTGCACCAATTACCATCCCCCCCGCTCCTCCTCCTCCTCCTCCTCCTCCTCCTCCTCCTCCTCCTCCTCCTACTCTTCCTCCTCCTCCTCCTCCTTCTCCTGCTCCTGCTCCTCCTACTCATCCTCCTCCTTCTCCTCCTTCTACTCATCCTCCTCCTTCTCCTCCTACTCTTCCTCCTCCTCATCATCATCCTGCTGCTGCTGCTCCTGCTTCTCCGCCTCCGCCTCCTCCTCCTCCTCCTCCTCGTCCTCCTCCTCCTCCTGCTCTTCTTTCTCTTTCTCCCCAGCCCATCGTAGACCCCTCATAACTGGGGAATGCAGAAGGTAGCGATACCGCTACTCCCTGGACCTCTCCTGTGGTGCGTTCGGACCCGAATTGCAAGGCGAAGTCCAGCGATGGCGACGAGGGCCTCCCAGGAGGCCCAAGAAGGGGAGAACGGGCGGAGGCAGCAGTGTGGGCACAGCCGGACCTAGGACAGAGGAGCATCCTGCAAGAACCCGAGACCCTCCGGCCGTTCCAAGCTGAAGGACGTTCGAGGGTGCCCTCGATGCCCTCCCTCAGGAGGAACAAGAACGTCCAACAAGCACGATGAATATCAGGGTACAGTCGGGCTGCTGAAAGAAGGAACGCCAAAAAAGGAACGAGGCCCCTCCTTGGCCCTGTAAGCGCATCCGTGCCCCAGGAGGGCAAGAGGAACCGCACTGGAGGAGCCTAAGGAACATCGAGCACCTTCCGAACCCAAACTGTTCCTTATTTCTTTGGACGTCCGAAATGGGTACGGAAAAAATGGGTACAATGCCCAACAGCAAATGTTGTCCCAAACCAACAGCGGCCGCTGTTGGGCAGGCGGCCTTCTGCCTCGAATGGACACAGGCCGCGGTGGCGTGGACAGCGAATCCTGTTCAAAATGCACAGGAACTGCTGTTGGGCATTGTACCCATTCTTTCGGTACGTCCAGAATTTCGGGCGTCCAGAATTTCGGTACGTCCAGAATTTCGGGCATTGTACCCAAGACGCTGAAATTCGGGCGTCCAGAATTTCAGCGTCTTGACTGCACCCTCTCCGAACCGACCTCGACCTCATACCTCGGCCTGGCCGTGCCGACCCCCCGCCTGCGGAAACGGCCCCCGTCCCCTCCTCGGCGCGCCCGCTCCTGCCCCCCTCGCCGGCGCCTGCCTCGTCCCCTCCCCCTCCCCTTCCCGTCCAAGGGGGGGCCCAGCGACACACACACACACACACACGCACGCACGCACGCACACGCACACGCACACGCACACGCACACGCACACGCACACGCACACGCACACGCACACGCACACGCACACGCACACGCACACGCACACGCACACGCACACGCACACGCACACGCACACGCACACGCACACGCACACGCACACGCACGCGCACGCGCACGCGCGCACACGCGCACGCGCACGCGCACGCGCACGCGCACGCGCACGCGCACGCGCACGCACACGCACGCGCACGCGCACACGCACGCACGCGCACGCGCACGCGCACGCGCGCACGCGCACGCGCACGCGCACGCGCACGCAGCACCCACCCGCCCCCCCCCCCCAAACACACACACACACCCACGCACGCACGCACGCACGCACGCACGCACGCACGCACGCACGCACGCACACACAAACAGGCGCAAACCCCAGGGTCCCCGTAGATTTGTTCCACGTGCTCTGGAGGGGCGTCTTCCCCTCGATGTCCCATCTTTGCCATGCTTTCCCGGAAATCGGCGACCATTTCTCTGCCTGTGTGCTTCTCTTCCCCCCCTCCCCGTCCAAGGAGGCCCAGGGGCACACAAACAAGCGGGCACAGGTCCCAGGGCCCCCCAGATGTTTTCCAGATGTTTTGGATTCTCGTCTTCCCCTCCACTTTCCATATTCTCCATATCCTGTCCCGGGGAATCGACGACGATTCTTTCTGCAGACGCTCTTCTTCCCCCCTCCTCGTGCCTCCCTGCACCCACCGCACCTCTGATCCCCCCCTCTCGCTTTCCCTCCCCCCCGCCAGCTCCCTCGGGGCGGCCCTGTGCGGATGTCCAGAAACTCCGCCACATCTACAGCCAAACACTCGATCGAGAAAATCATTATTGAAGAAATCTGGGACCGCTTCTCCGAAGCCTCTTAAGTTGGTGGCGCGCACAAAGGGGCAGGGGGAGGGGGGAAGGCTTCTCAGAAGGAGGCTGCTTCTTAGCAGGCGCGGGCCTTACATCTACACGCAAGGCCCGCGCCTTCTAAGCAGGGGTGCTTCTAAGACGCCTTCCCCCCTCCCCCTACCCCCCTCTGCGCGTGGCCGATCAAGACAAGCCACATCCACAGCCGGACCTAGGACACAACAACATCCTTGGAGAACACGCGACCCTCCGCTGGCCCAACCTGAAAAACTATTCGAGGGTGCCCTCCCAGAGGATGCACAATATGGTCCAACAAACACAAAGAACATTAGGGTACCCTCCCCGAACCGACCTCGATCTTATACCTCGGGCCGGCTGTACAGCTAAAGTCATGATCAACAAATTATCATTAAGAGATCTGGGCCAACTCCCCCGAAATTTCTTAAGACGAGCCTGGGCCAATTTCTGCCGTTTACGCCGGAAGGGCGAACGTGCTCAAGAGACTGGGCCAGCTTTCCAACAAGGTGGTCAAGAAACGCTGGCACAGCTTTTCGGGAGGAGGTCATTAAATCAGATGCTCGACTTTAGTGTGGCCTCCCTCCCACCTCCCCCCTCAACGCCAGCCTTCCTCCCTCTGCCACCACTCAGGGGAACAAACAATGACATAAACATACAGAAGCTCGGAGGTCCGCGCGGATTCCTCGGATCGGCGCTGGGCCCCCCTGGCGCGTTCCGCGCACCAAGAATGGGTGCCAGCGCCGATCCGAGAAATTCGCGCACATGCTCATGCCATTGGTATTCCCCTACCACTGCCCCGTATGCGGGACACGTACTGGGAACGAAGGGGGAAAGCGCTTCCGGGACACGCTGCAGGCCGAAGCACGCTGCTGCAACGCTGCCGGACCGGCAGCCGCGGGGCGGAGGCTGGCCTGGCCCTGCCTGTCGGCTCCCGAATCTCCAAAGGCCTACTTAGCTCCAAGAGCGGCCCAGGAATGTGTATACCGTTGCTTGTTCCCGTGCCACTGCCCCCCTCCCCCCCCCCGACCGTGGAGAGGAGGCTGGCCTGGCCCTGCCTGTCGGCTCCCTCATTCTCCAAAGGCCTACTTAGCTCCAAGAGCGGCCCAGGAATGTGTACACCGTTGCTTAGGAGGAGAAGGAGGAGGAGGAGGAGGAGGAGGAGGAGGAGGAGGAGGAGGAGGAGGAGGAGGAGGAGGGGGAGGAGGAGAGGAGGAGGAGGAGGAGGAGGAGAGGAGGAGGAGGAGGAGGAGGAGGAAGGGGGAGGAGGAGGAGGAGGAGGAGGAGGAGGAGGAGGAGGAGGAGGAGGAGGAGGACGAGGAGGTGGAGGAGGAGGAGGGGGAGGAAGAAGAGACGTGCCACTGCCCCCCTCCCCCCCCCCCGACGCTCTGCGCTCGGCCGGCAGCCGCCCACCCGAGGGCTCCCAGCAGTCGTGCAGGTAGAAGCCCAGCGAGGCCACCAGCGCCCGCGAGCAGTAGCGCGGCAGCTCCTGGCGCAGCGCGGAGCAGCGATGGGGGCCTCTAGGAGGAGGGGGGAGGAGGGAGGAGGAGGAGGAGGGAGGAGGAGGAGGAGGAGGAGGAGGAGGAGGAAGGAGGAGGAGGAGGAGGAGGGAGGAGGAGGAGGAGGAGGAGGGAGGAGGAGGAGGAGGAGGAGGAGGAGGAGGGAGGAGGACGGAGGAGGAGGAGGAGGAGGAGGGAGGAGGAGGAGGGAGGAGGAGGAGGACCAGCGTGAGAACGCACCGGCCTCGATGCTTCTGTATGGCCAACGTCAAGACGGAGGGCCAGTGCAAACCCAATGCTCATCAACGATGTTGCAATCAACCCTCTCTCCAAATTCCACATTCACAGGTCCCTAGAAAAGTTCATTTCCCTGAGGGAAGTGCCCTGTTGGAAGACAACCGTCTGAAAATCCGGAGACGCGCCAGAACACAACTCCTGGGACTTCAACGCCGCGAATCAACGTTACTCTTGCATCCTGACGACCCTGAATCGTGCCAGAACACCATTCCTCGGACTTGAAGGCTGGGAATCAATTTAACGATTGCGCCCGGTCAATCGTAAACCGTGTCAAAACACAATTTCTGGGCCATCAGAATCCTTGAAGCTGCTGTATGCTCGCAAGGCGATTGTTCGCGGCGCTACGGCGAGAGCCTCATTTCGAAATGGTACCGCCTTCAATCCATGAAGCTCCTGCAAGCTTTAGAAACGAATTTGCGCGGCGCTGAGGCGAGAGCCACATTCTGAAAACGGTCCGGTCCTACATCGTGAGGAAGTCTCAGGCGAAACGCCGAGCCTGCCTTACCGGCACGTCTCGGGGTGCGACAGGGAGGAGTGATTTATAAGGGAAGGGAATGGAAGAAGAGGAGGAGGAGGAGGAGGAGGAGGAGGAGGAGGAGGAGGAGGAGAGGGAGAAGGGGGAGGAGGAGGGGAAGGAGGGCGAGGAGGAATGGGAACAACAGGGAGAAGAGGATGGGCAGAGGAGGGGGAGAAGGATCCTAGGATTCGAGGTTGTCCTCGCTCGCGCCTTGAAAAGGCGCGAGGCAGAGGCAGAGAGAAAGGCGGCAGCCACCGACACGACGGCGAAGACGAGGACAACAGCCGAACGAACGCAGCGACGACGGACGACGACGGCGGAGGCGGCGACGCGATGAACGACGAGCAGCAGAGGGGGGGGAGGAGCAGGCAGACAGGAGGAGCGGCAAAATGAGAGATGGGAAGGCGAACGAGCCTAGGTGCACTCGCCGCCATGTCTGACATCCTGTCCCTGCCACCCGTCCCCTCCCATTGCGCTGCGGTTCTCTCTATCGGCCGACGGGTGCCACACTGGCCGTGAACAGAGGAACAAAAAACGGCATAAACATAAACTGTTGGAGATCTGCGCAATTTTCTTGGATCCGCGCTGGAAGTCCCTCCATGGCGCGCGGAGCGCCCAAGGGGAGGCGCCAGAGGCGCCGACAGAGGGGCCCGACGCGGATCCAAGAAATCTGCGCGGAGCTCCGAAAGTTTATGTTTACGCAACTTTTTGTTCTTCGACTGGAACCCCGAGAGGACCTCGCCGTGTTTTGGCGGTGAGCCTGGGGGGGGAGTGAGACAGAGAAAGCCTTCTCAGAAGGCGGCGGGGCCCCGTCAAGAAAGCGGGCACCATCCGTTATGCACATGCTTTTGAAACGAAGGTGCCCGACGCCAAGGCGACAACCAATCCGCCCGTGTAGCTGCTACAGTCGGGGCCCTGAAAAAGGAACCCTTTTCGTTGGGGAGGGGCTCCGCGTTCCTTAAATGTTTCACAGCTTGCCTCAGATGTTCCTTATGTCTCCGATAGGAAATCGAGGTTTAACTTATGGGAGAAAGGGGCCTCGTTCTGTATTTAGGGTTCCTTAGGTCAACGCCTCGACTGTAGGATGCTAGGAACTAGTAAAGAGAATGTGCACGGCAATGTGGCGAACACCCCATTGTCAAAACCTCCCCCCCATCCACCCGTGTTAGTGTTAAAGTTCCACGCGGCACGCTCATAACTATGCGAGAGAGGGAAATATGGATGGAACGCGAGCGAGGACGCGAATAGGAAGGCCTTCTAAGGCGGGGAACGAGCATAGACAATATGGATAATGCGGGCGCGGAGGCGGCGGACGCGGAGGAGAAGCAGCAGCAGCAGGCGGCGGCTCGGATGAGATCTGCACGAGCTGAAACTGAGGAGAAACATGAAAACGAAGAAGGGCCAGCTGGAGGGAGGAAAAGCAACATGAAAGTAAGAACGAAGCGGGAAAAGGTTCACCACCCGTAGAGGGACAAGGTCGTGGAGGGAGAAAAGGGGAAAACGGCGGGGCACCAATCGACGGAGAACTTGGTGTACCCTGGCAGGGTCGAAGGGGGAGGAAGAGGAGGAGGGAGGGAGGGAGGGAGGGAAGAAGGAGGAGGAGACGGAGGAAGACGACGAGGACGACGACTAACTACGACGACGACGACGATGACGACGACGACGACGACGACGACGACGACGACGACAACGACAACGACAACGACGACGACGACGACGACGACGACGACAACGACAATGACGACGACGACGACGACGACGACGACGACGACGACGACGACGACGACGACGGCGACGGGGTGGGATGAGGAGGACACGGGAGGAGGAGGAGGAGGAGGAGGAGGAGGAGGAGGAGGAGGAGGAGGAGGAGGAGGAGGAGAAGGGGAGGAGGAGGAGGAGGAGGAGGAGGAGTAGGAGGAGGAGTAGGAGGAGGAGGAGGAGGAGGAGGAGGAGGAGGAGGAGGAGGAGGAGGAGGAGGAGGAGTTTTAAACCCGCGCGCTCGCGCCCACGAGCGAGTGCCCCTGGTCTCGGCACCCCGAGCAAGCGCGCCGGTGGCGCGCCCGCCGCAGGGTGGGCCAGCGGCCTCAGCACGTGGCGCCCTTGCCTCCCGCCTGGGCGACTGTTCGCCCGGGAGCTCACGGCGCGCTCGCGCCGGCACGACGACACGACACGACGGGGGGACGGGGACGCGACACGACCGAAGACGCACGACACGACACGAAACGCACGACAACGACGGGACGAGCCGCCGGTCCCGCCCCAGGGCGGCGAGTGCAAGGTGGGAATCCTGCACCGCCCTGGGGGAGGCCACGGGACCTGGCGACCCCCCTGGGGAAGGAAGGCCGCGCTTATGGCGGCCGTCCCCAGGTGCGGGGGCTTGTGCCCTGAAGGCCCGGTGCTCCCCGCCTGCACCAGGGGGCACACAGGCCCGACCCCCACTCTTGGGGGGCCCTCCAGGGCGGAGGAGGAGGAGGAGGAGGAGAAGCAGGAGGAGGAGGAGGAGCAGCAGCAGCAGCAGCAGCAACAGCAGCAGCAGGAGGGAGAAAAAGAGAATGACGGTGTTCCAGGGGACCTCCCAAGCTCGTCCCTGGGGAGGAGGGAGGACAGAAGGAGGGACGGGCAGACAGTGGGGAGTTGTGGAGAGGGAGGGGCGGAGGGGGGAGGACAGGGGTGGAGGGGCCGAGTGAATGGGTCGGCGGCGAGCGAGGGGGGGAAGTGAGGAAGAGAAGGCCCTCTCAGAAGGCGGCGGAATTTCTCAAGAGTCCTCGCGCCTTCTGAAACATGTCGTCCTGCGTCTCCGGGGAAAGCTTAGACAACTTCTCGGAAGGCCGGGTGACTTCCGCGCCTTCTGACCCGCCCCTTCTCATCTCCCCCCGCGGGCTCGCCGCCGAGTGCAATCTGGAGAAGGGGATGGGGAGGGGAGAAGGCGGGGCGGATGGGGCGGAGGAGGGGGGCGGGAATGGTGAGGGGAGGCGGAGGGGCGGAGGAGGGCCGTGGACGCCCTGGTGCCGAACCCCCTCTCCTCCTCCTCCTCCTCCTCCTCCTCCTCCTCCTCCTCCTCCTCCTCCTCCTCCTCCTCCTCCTCCTCCTCCTCCTCCTCCTCCATCCTTTTCCTCCTCTTCCTCCTCATCCTCCTCCTCCTCCTTCTCCTCCTCCTCCTGTTCCTCCTCATCCTCTTCCCCCTCCCCAGATCCTCCGAAGGGCCGCGGAGCTTGCTCAGGATGAAGGCCAGCCAGCCCAGCGCGTGCATGGTGCTCAGCGCGTGCAGCTCCAGGGCCAGCTCGCGGCGTCCGCCTCGTCGGCGGCCCAGCGTGCTGCTCATTGGAAGGACGGGGTGCTCGCGCGTCGGCTCCAGACGGTTGAGCTAGTAGGTGCGTACGGTAAGAAGTCATGCTACAAGAACTCTAGGGGCACGGTCTTCGTTGACCTCTGGACGCCCTGAGCTGCCCAAGGGCTTCTGCAAGTGCCCAGGGCCATCGTGGGTCAAGGTATTTCCATGGGACACCTGCTGGCAGGCTGGTTTCTTACTTGGTTCACGCCCTATAGGTGCAGCACGGCCTTGTGTGTGTGCGTGTGCGTGTGCGTGTGCGTGTGTGCGTGTGTGCGTGTGTGCGTGTGTGCGTGTGTGCGTGTGTGCGTGTGTGAGTGTGTGCGTGTGTGCGTGTGTGCGTGTGTGCGTGTGTGCGTGTGTGCGTGTGTGCGTGTGTGCGTGTGTGCGTGTGTGCGTGTGTGCGTGTGTGCGTGTGTGCGTGTGTGCGTGTGTGCGTGTGTGCGTGTGTGAGTGTGCGTGTGCGTTGTGCGTGGTGCGTGATGTGTGCGTGCGTAGTTGTGCGTGTGTGCGTGTGTGCGTGCGTGCGCGCGTGCGCGTTGCGCGTGCGCGTGCGCGGCGCGAGTGGCGTGTGCGTGTGCGTGTGCGTGTGTGTGCGTGCGTTTGTGCGTGTGCGTGTGCGTGTGCGTGTGCGTGTGCCGTGTGCGTGTGCGTGGTGCGTTGTGCGTGTGCGGTGTGCGTGCGTGTGCGTGTTGCGTGTGCGTGTGCGTGTGCGTGTGCGTGTGCGTGTGCGTGTGCGTGTGCGTGTGCGTGTGCGTGTGCGTGTGCGTGTGCGTGTGCGTGTGCGTGTGCGTGTGCGTGTGCGTGTGCGTGTGCGTGTGCGTGTGCGTGTGCGTGTGCGTGTGCGTGTGCGTGTGCGTGTGCGTGTGCGTGTGCGTGTGTGTGTGTGTGATTGTGTGTGTGATTGTGTGTGTGTGATTGTGTGTGTGAGTGTGTGTGTGTGTGAGTGTGCGTGTGGAACCCCGTCTAGCTCTTAACCAGAAGAGGCCCGCTCTCGACCCGCAGACCAAAAAAGTGTGTGGAACCCCGTGCAAGCAGCCAAAGCCATGGCGGTGCACGCTGCAAGGCCGACCGCGCAACGCAGAGGCAGCTCCCTAGAGCACAGGCAAGGGCCGCCAAGTGCAACCGCTGCCCCCCCAGAGCACGAGATCCGACGCGGAGATCCCCCCCGTGTACCTCACTATGCGGCGATCCCCTGTGAGCGTGCGGACGCGAGCGAGTCCGAACGTGAGGAAGACAGAGTGTAAGTCTAGATGCCACTCCCTGCCATTCCCCCTGAGGTCTTTGTCTGGCGCAATCTGGGAGGGGAGGAGGGGGACCGGACACGGCAGCGCGATGACAAGCTCGGCGACGCAAACGTGAAGCCGCTGCGCCACCTCGAAACGGCGCGCCCGCGCGAGCGGAACCGAAGCGTCCAGCCACACCAGACGGGCTGCCCTGCGAGAGCTGGCGCACAGAAACGGACACCCTCACGCCCACCAGCCCGTGGCCCACGACCGCGCATGCCCCGTAAGCTGCGAGCCGGCTCCTGCGCTCGCCGCATAGAAACGGACCCTCTCACGCCCACCGATATCCGTGGCCCACGACCGCGCATGCCCCGTGAACTGCGGGCCGGCTCCTGCGCTCGCCGCATAGAAACGGACGCTCCCACGCCCACCGATATCCGTGGCCCACGACCGCGCATGCCCCGACGTCGTGATTTTTTCACAGCGTCGACCCCCAGAGGTCTGGACCCCTTCCCCGGGACCGGTTCTTCGTCCTGGGTCGTGTGTTGACGCTCCCGAGGCCCGGGGAGGGCCCCCGGAGGCCGAACATCGCGAAAAAGCTCCCGTCGTGATTCTTTCACGACGCCAGGAGGAGGGAGGAGGAGGAGGGAGGAGGAGGAGGAGGAGGAGGAGGAGGAGAGGAGGAGGAGAGAGGGAGGAGAGGAGGAGGAGGAGGAGGAAAGGGAAAGGAGGAGGAGGGGGAGGAGGAGGGAGAAGGAAGGAGGAGGAGGAGGAGGAGGAGGAGAGGAGGAGGAGGAGGAGGAGGAGGAGGAGGAGGAGGGAGGAGGAAGGAGGAGGGAGGGAGGAGAGGAGAGGAGGAGGAGGAGGGAGGAGGAGGAGGAGGAGGGAGGAGGTCTGGGGCCAGGAGGTCTGGGGCGCTCTCTGCGGCGCTCTGCGGCTCTCGGCCGCTCTCGGCCTCTGTCCCCGCCGCGCGTGCCGGCCGCCCTCGGCCGCACAGCAACGGACACCCTCACGCCCACCGATATCCAGGAGGAGGAGGAGGAGGAGGAGGAGGAGGAGGAGGAGGAGGAGGGAGGAGGAGGGAGGAGGACGGAGGAGGAGGAGGAGGAGGAGGAGGAGGAGGAAGAGGAGGAGGAGGAGGAGGAGGAGGAGGGAGGAGGAGGGTGGTCTAGGGCGCTCCTGCGCTCGCCGCATAGAAAAGGACACCCTCACGCCCACCGACATCCGTGGCCCACGACCCAGACCCCCTCGAAGAACGAAAAAATCACGACGGGAGGTTTTTCGCTATTTTCGCCCTCTGGAGGCCCTCCCCGGGCCTCGGGAGCGTCAAAAAACGACTCAGGACGACAAACCGGTCCTGGAGAAGGGGTCGAGAACTCTGGGGTCGACGTAATGAAAAAATCATTACGTCGGGGGTCTGGGGACCGCGGTTCCAGAACGCTCTGGAGCGGCCGCGGCGCCCAGTACATCCTCCAAACCCGCCGGTTCTCAGAGATTTCGCATTAGCCCCATACGATGTTGTCCCGATCTTCGCGTCGTTTTAGCGGATGCCCCGATCCGATGATGTCCCGATCTTCGCGTCGTTTTAGCGGATGCCCCAGAGGTCTGGACCCCTTCCCCGGGACCGGTTCTTCGTCCTGGGTCGTTTTTTGACGCTCCCGAGGCCCGGGAAGGGCCCCCGGAGGCCGAACATCGCGAAAAACTCCCCGTCGTGATTCTTTCACGACGCCAGGAGGTCTGGGACCGCGGATGCCACGTGAGCTGCGAGCCGGCTCCTGCGCTCGCCGCACAGAAACGGACACCCTCACGCCCTCCGATATCCGTGGCCCACGACCGCGGTTCCGGAACGCTCTGGAGCGGCCGCGGCGCCCAATACATCCTCCAAACCCGCCGGTTCTCAGAGATTTCGAGTTATCCCCATCCGATGTTGTCCCGATCTTCGCGTCGTTTGGGCGGATGCCCCGTGAGCTGCGAGCCGGCTCCGGCGCTCGCGGTGGCGCTCTGCGGCTCTCTGCCGCGCTCGGCCGCTCTGCGGCTCTGCGGCTCTCTGAGGAGGAGGCGGAGGAGGAGGAGGAGGAGGAGGAGGAGGAGGAGGAAGGAGGAGGGAGGAGGAGGAGGGAGGAAGGAGGAGGAGGGAGGAGGAGGAGGGAGGAGGAGGGGGAGGAGGAGGAGGAGGAGGAGGAGGAGGAGGAGGAGGAGGAGGAGGAGGAGGAGGAGGAGGAGGAAGAGGGAGAAGGAGGAAGGCTTCGCTCCCCGAGCAACTCACGGGGGCGGCAGCGGCAGCGGGGCCGCGCGGGAGTGGGCGGGCTGCAGTCCTCGCCCAGGGAGGAGAGGAGGAGGAGGAGGAGAGGAGGAGGAGGAGGAGGAGGAGGAGGAGGAGGAGGGAGGAGGAGCAGGAGGAGGAGGGAGGAAGGATGCGAAAAAGCGGGGCGCACATGTCCGCCGCAGAAGAACAGGGCGGACAAGTCCGCAAGGAGAGCAGAGGAGAGGAGGAAGGAGGAGGAGGAGGAGAGGAGGAGGAGAGAGGAGGAGAGAGGAGGAGGGAGGAGGAGGAGGAGGAGGAGGAGGAGGAGGGAGGAGGAGGAGGGAGGAGGAGGGAGGAGGAGGAGGAGGGAGGAGGAGGAGGGAGGAGGAGGGAGGAGGAGGGAGGTCTGGGGCGCTCTGCGGCTCTCTGCCGCGCTCGGCCGCCCTCGGCCGCTCTCCCCGCCGCGCGTGCCGGTCGCCCTCTCGGCCGCTCGCACTCGCTCTCCCTCTCCACCTCTGCGGGGGGGGGCCGCTCGCGGCCGCGTCCCCTGCCGCGTCTCCTAAATCGACACGAAGATCGGGACAAAATCGGATCGGGATAACTCGAAATCTCTGAGAATCGGCGGGTTTGGAGGATGTATTGGGCGCCGCGGCCGCTCCAGAGCGTTCCGGAACGCTCTGAGAGCGCTCCGGAACGCTCTGGAGCGATTTATCCCGATCCTAGCCCTGTTTTATCTCCCCTGGCGGGGGGCCCCGAGCGCGGTGCCTGTCCGGTCGCGGTGGCTCCCCGGAGTTCTGCGGTTCCCCTGGCGGCTCCCCTTCATGCGGGATGACGATGGATAAAAAAAGAAGGGGGAACGATTAGGACAATCATTTTCTGGCAGTTCTGCGCAGATTTTCTGACTGGAGGAGAACGATTAAAAAAGATAGTTTTCCAGCCCGCGGCCGGTTTTTTCTAATCGTCATCCCGGGCGCCGCCGCGTGAACACGACCCCCGGTCAGTTACTAATCGTCCTCCTCCATTAGGGATGCCCGGGGGCGGTGCGTGCCCCAGGCAAGCGCTTCACACGTAGTGCCCCATGGCGGGTCCACCTTGGGATATGCCCAAGTGCCACACCTGCGGCATCGCGAGGACTGTGGGGCTCCCACGAAAGCAGAGAGGGGTCGAGTGCCCAAACCAGCGTTTCGCATGAGAGGTCCTCAGCATCTGGGCGTGAATGGGCCCTTGTAATGCCACATAGCGGCCCCCCGTTGGAATGCCCACGTGCCATGTCTGCTGTGATTGTATGAAAGGGGTATCAGTGCGAATGTTTCGGTCGGAATCTTGGTATGAGTGAGTCTGAGTATGAGCGAGTCTGAGAGCGACCGAATCTGAACCTGAGTGAGTCTGAGTGCGGGCGTGTCCTGAAACGACGGCGTCCGATTACGAGTGGATCATGGTGTTGCGTTTGACTCCTCATGAGTCTGCACGAGTATGCATACGTCTGAGTGGATATGAGTAGGAGTGGCTCTGAGTGCGGCATGGAATTAGTGTGAGTGTATGAGCAGGGGTGGCATAGGTGTGAGTGATTCTGGGTAGGTGTGAGTATGCGGATGTAGTGTGTGCGTAGGTATGAGTATGAGTGGACCGAAATGTGAGTGGTTGAGAATCTGACCAGGCGAAGATGAGATGCATATGGCGGAGGAGGCGGGTGAGGTGAGGACAGGAGGCGGAAGCATCACACGAATAACACTAACCCTAGACTTAGGATACGTGGACAACATACCACAGGAAAAGGAGAGGCGGCCGCGAATGGACGATAGCATGAAGACACGGGTCCTGGACCCCAAGGCCTTCCCCAGGGCTGGGCTCTCGCTCAAAGCCCTTAATCGACCGTCGCGGGGCCCGTGGGGGGGGCCCGAAGAGGCCGAACACAGCGAACAGTCTCCAGACCGATGCTGCTCATGGCGCACAGGAAGCGCAGGCGACGACGGGAAGCTGAGAGGCGACCACAGGAGGAACGAGGAGAAGGAAGAGGAGGAATACGCCCCTGGAGGCGCCCAAATACCAACAGTCTCCTCCTCCTCCTCCTCCTCCTCCTCCTCCTCCTCCTCCTCCTCCTCCTGCCCCTCCTTCGACGACGACGACCATGCCTGCTCCTCCTGCGACTCCTCCTCCTCCTCATCCTCCTCCTCATCCTCCTCCTCCTCCTCCTCCTCCTCCTCCTCCTCCTCCTCCAGCTCCGACTTCGACGACTCCGACTCCGATTTCGACGGCTCCGACTCCGACGACGGCGACAACGACGACGACGACAACGACGACGACGACAACGGCGACGGCGAGGACGACGGGTGCGACAAGCAGAGGCGGCCGCGGCCTCGCCGGCCCCCGATGTAGTCGCGCAGCACCAGCCGCAGCCCGTACCAGCCGCACGCCGACAGCGCCCCGACCAGCGCCTGACGACCTACCAAACCACCCCAACCCAGCCCGAAGACCCGAATTCCGGGTTGGGGGGGTAATTACGGGCTCCACATGTGTGTTTTCTCGATGTTCCCCGACCCCCCCTCCCCAGCTGGAAATGGAGGGCAAATCGGGGCCTTCGGGTTGGGTTGGGGTGGTTTGGTGGGCGGTGAGCGCCAGGCCGCGGAGCGAGAGGGCGGAGTGCTGCTCGCAGCGCCCCGGGCTCCCCGGCGTCTGCGGCTCTGCTGGGGCCGGAAGCCGGCAGCCGTGCAGCAGCACCGGGCAGGGCCCATGATTTGCATCCTCCTCCTTTTCCTGATCCCTTTCTCCCTCCCCCTCCTCTTCCTCCTCCTCCTCCTCCTCCTCCTCCTCCTCCTCCTCCTCCTCCTCCTCCTCCTCGTCCTCCTCGTCCTCCATTCCTTTTCCTGAAAAAACATCTGCTCCCTGTCATGCACCGAGGCCAGTTTTTAGGGCGGGCCGGGCGTTTCGCCTGACACTTCCTCACACCCTGCGCCCGGCGAAGGGAGCAGCCTACCTCACCCCGCCCCCTGTCCTCGCCCTCGCCCTCTACATTCCCCGCCCCCCCTCCCTCGAGTCCCGCCGCCTCCGCGGCCGTCCCCCGAGGCCTCCCCTCGCCCCTCTCTCGCCCGCAGCGTTGTGAGGAGCGCGAGGCAGACCCAGCGCAGACCGGGGTCCGGCAGCCGCTCGCGCAGGCGGTGCTCGGATGCGGCTGCGCCCGCGCCCCGGCGCCCGGTTCTGCACGCGCCCCGGCGCCCTGCTCTGCCCTGCTTGACCTCGCAAAGAGGTCCGCACACCCTGTTCTGCCCTGCTCTGGCCTGTTCTGCCCGCGCCCCGGCGCCCTGTTCTGCCCCGTTCCACGTCCCCTACACCCCACACCAAGAGGGCCGCACGCAGAACGTTCCCGACCTGCGTGGCCAGAGAGGCGCGACTCGCGGGCTGCCATTTTCGAGTGTTCCTTTTCGAGGGCTTGCCATTTTTATCAGATCCCCCAGCCCTTCCCAGCCATGGCCCGCTCTGGCGGCGCGATCCTGAAGGCCTGCGTCCTGGCCCTGGGCGCGGCGGCGTGCCTCAGCGCCGCCGGCCTGTCCTTCGTGGCACCCCCGCGCGCGGCGCCCGAGGCGCAGGCGGCGGCCGCCGCGCTGGTGGGCCTGGCCGCGGCGCAGCCCGCGCTAGCCTACGAGGGGTCCATCAACACCGACAGCAGCGGCGTCGACGGTGGCGGCGCTTTTATTCTCGGCCTGGGCTCCGCCACGCTGACCTTCCTGTACGCCGTATTCAACGTCGTTGGCCCGTACTGGAAGGCCAAAAAGGGCGACCACTACAGGCTGAAGTGACGCGCGGTGGACGCAAGGTTCACGAGCCCGCGTCAGACAGCATGCGCTGCCGCTCATTTTTTAACATGGCCGCAGGTAGCTGCGCGTGACCCAGACCTCCGACGTCGTGATTTTTTCACGACGTCGACCCCCAGAGGTCTGGACCCTTTCCCCGGGACCGGTTTTTCGTCCCGAATCGTTTTTTGACGCTCCCGAGGCCCGGTGAGCGCCCCCAGAAGCCGAAAATAGCGAAAAACCTCCCGTCGTGATTTTTTTACGACGCCAGGAGGTCTGGGGATACAAGTTGTACAGAAGACGCTGAAGCCACGGTGCAAAACAAAGAAAAGAGTGGCGCGACTCGCGGGCCGTGCGGACGGCGGCCCCGCCCCCGCCCCGGGGGCACTGCCTCTTAGGGTTTCCCATTCGGCCATACCCCCACCTTGTTTTTTCAAAGCCAGGGTTGCGATACAACGCCAGCCCCAGGCATCTCATTCGCAACGCCATGCCTGTGCAGCCACGCATCATATGAGGAGGCTTGGGGTGCCAGGGTTGTCTTTGTGGGAGCGGAGGTGGGGGAGGAGGAGCAGGAGCAGGAGCAGGAAGAGGAGGGGGAGGAGGAGGAGGAGGAGGAGGAGGAGGAGGAGGAGGAGGAGGAGGAGGAGGAGGACCGACGACGCCTACCACAATGTATCAGGGACCAAGGCCAATTGCCTGGAATCCCCCCCGTGGCTTTTCTCCCCGGGGAGCCCAGGGGGGTCTCTGGGGCAACAGCCCTTGGGGAGGGGTGGGGGGATGGCTGCGTCTGGACGACTGGAAGAGGAGGAAAAGGCGGAGGAGGAGAAAGAGCAGGAGGAGGATGAGGAGGAGGATGACGATGAGGAGGAGAAGAAGGAGGAGGAGGAAGAAGAGGAGAAGAACGAGGGCGGGAGGGAGGGAGGGAGGGAGGGACGGAGGAGGAGGAGGAGGAGGAGGACGAAGAGGAGGAGGAGGAAGACGAAGAGGAGGACGAAAAGGCTGAGGGGGACCAGTGTAAACCCAAGAGTCATCAACGATATTGAAATAATCCCTCCTTCCAAGCTCCCTCTTTGCAGGAACCTATACAACGGTTCGTGTCCATTGAGGGAACTGCCTCAGCCGTTTGAAGACCCTGAAGCACGCCAAAACATTGTTTTCGGGATGCCGACGTCACGGATCAACTTGATTGTTGCGTCTTGACGATCCGGAATCACGCCATAACGCCATTTTCTGGTACTTCAACACAAAGAATCAACATATGTGTTGCACTAGTATAAGCTTGAATCCTCTCAAAACGCAGCTTCTAGTACGCTGATGATGGGAATCCGCGAAACTCTTTGCAGCTGTTGGAAGCGAGTGTGCGCGGCGCAAAGGCGAGAGCCACGTTTTGAAAAGGAACCGCCCTCAATCCTTGAAGCTATGCCAACTGTTTAAACATGAATGTGCGCCGCGCTAAGGCGAGAGCCACATTTTCAAAACGGGTGGCCTTCAATCCGTGAAGCTCTTGCAATGTTTAAAACGAACGTGCGCCGCGCTCAGGCGAGAGCCACATTCTGAAAACGGCCCGCCCTCTAACTGTGAAGCTGTTGCCAAATTTTAAGCCTCAGAGTCAAACATTGGTTCCTCCGCCTCCTCCTCCTCCTCCTCCTCCTCCTCCTCCTCCTCCTCCATATGTTCCTCCTCCTCCTCCCAGGGCCCGTGCTGCCTCACGCCTTCGCGCCCTCCTGGGCCTCCCGAGGCCTCCTCGGGGCGCCCTCGCCGCCACGGGCGGAGCCGCCCCGGCAGGAGCTCGGAGGGCCGCCCCCCGCGGGAGCTGCACGGGGGGGCTCGCCCGCTGGGCCCCCAGCCGAGCCCGTGCCCCGCTCCCAGGGGAGGAGGAGGAGGAGGAGGAGGAGGAGGAGGAGGAGGAGGAGGAGGAGGAGGAGGAGGAGGAGGAGGAGGAGGACGAGGTCTCGGCAGGCCGAGGAGGAGGAGGAGTCGGAGGAGGAGGAGGAGGAGGAGGTCTCGGCAGGAGGAGGAGGAGGAGGAGGAGGAGGAGAGGAGAGGAGGAGGAGGAGGAGGAGGAGGAGGACGAGGTCTCGGCAGGCCGAGGAGGAGGAGGAGGAGGAGGAGGAGGAGGAGGAGGAGGAGGAGGAGGAGGAGGAGGAGGAGTCCGGGCCCCGCGAGGCCGACAACGACGAAAAACCTTCGTCCCGATGTTTTCGAGACGCCCGATGTCTGGGTCTGACCCTGGATGTCGAGGCGACCCCAGCGGTGTCGACGAGGGCCCCCCAGGAGGCCCCCACAGGGGGCAAAGGGGGGCGAACCCAGACCCCCGACGTGGTGATTGTTTCACAGCGTCGACCCCCAGAGGTCTGGAGGTACCCCTTCCCCGGGGCCGCCTTTGCATCCCGAGTCGTTTCTGGACGGCCCCGAGGCCCAGAAAAAGGGCCCCCAGAATCGCCGAAGATGGCCAAAAGCCTCCCGCGTCGTGACTGTTCCCTGACTCCGGATCCGCCCTACTTTGGGGAAATTCGTAGGTAGGGCTTGGAATTCCCGCCTTGCTTTGCAAGCCCCGCCGATGCCGATTTCCGCCCTGCTTTTCTGTTGCGGTTTCCGCCCTACTACTACTGTGGGTTTCCGCCCTACTGTATGCTGGGAGCAGAAATTCCCGCCCTACTTTTTCGGCTTCTTATAAGTGGATTTCCAACCCAATTCTAAGTTGGGAAAAAAGCCAAAGTGGGGCGGATTTGGAGTCTGGGCTATCCTCCGCCCGGGCCGCGTGGGCCAGTGGCGCGGCTGCCCGCTGCCGGCTTCCAGCTGGGAGCGCCCGCGCCGGCGCCGCGTCGGCGAGGGAGCCTGGCGACCCAGGACCCCATCGAGTCATGAGAAACGCACGACGGCGAGTGTTTTGCTACTGTCGGCCTTTGGGGGCCCTTGCTGGGCCTCGGGACCGTCAACGAAACGACTCGGGGTGCAAAACTCTGGTCCTGGGGAATGGGTCGAGACCTCTGGGGGTCGACGCCATGAACCCAGACCCCCGACGTCGTGATTTTTTCACAACGTCGACCCCCAGAGGTCTGGACCCCTTCCCCGGGACCGGTTCTTCGCCCCGAGTCATTTTTTGACGTTCCCGAGGCCCGGTGAGGGCCCCCGGAGGCCGAAAATAGCGAGAAACCTCCCGTCGTGATTTTTTCACGACGCGAGGGGGTCTGGGAACAAAGTCATGACGTCGGGGGCCTGGAGAGGCGGAACGACAAAAGTGAGAGAGAGAGAGAGAGACAAACATCGCGTTGGGAGGAAGGGTCCGGCCCCACCTCAAGCCGGTGGCCCTGCTGCTTGGACGCAGCTCCGATGCTCTCCTACGGCATCCCCGCGCCGACCTACACGGTCCGAGCCCCTTCTTCCTCTTCTCGCTCTCTATTCTCTTTCGCCTTCGTGCCTCAAGTCGCCTTCGGTGCATCCCACCGCTTGCTTGGACCGGCGCCTGACCGTCTTGCACCACCCGGCGCCCGCGGATTGAAGAGTTGGGAGAAAGGGGTTGGGGCGCAATAAACACCTTCAGCCTACGCGATACCCAGACCCCCAACGTCATGATTTTTTCATGACGCGACCCCCAGAGGTCCGGACCCATTCCCCGGGACCGGTTTGTCATCCTGAGTCGTTTTTTGACGCTCCCGAGGCCCGGTGAGGGCCCCCCGAGGCCGAAAATGGCGAAAAACCTCCCGTCATGATTTTTTCATTACTCGAGGGGGTCTGGGTAAGAGGAATCATCTGATCATGCCTTCCAAGCCCAACCTCCCAGCACGAGACCTGCCCAGACACCCGGCTGCTCCAATTGTTTCGAGGCGGGGGCCCCAGAGGCTCGGGCCCCTCCCCCGGGGCCGGCTCTTCGTCCCATGAGCCGTTTTTGGTTGACGCTCCCGGGGCCCGGCGAGGGCCTCCCGAGGGCGAAAGCAGCGAGAAACCTCCCGTCGTGATTTTCTCACGACCCCAGACCCCCTCGAGTAATGAAAAAATCATGACGGGAGGTTTTTCGCCATTTTCGGCCTCCAGGGACCCTCCCCGGGCCTCGGGAGCGTCAAAAAACGACTCAGGACGACAAACCGGTCCTGGAGAAGGGGTCGAGAACTCTGGGGTCGACGTAATGAAAAAATCATTACGTCGGGGGTCTGGGACGCGAGGAGGTCGGGGGGGAGCGCACCGACCCCGATCGCCCCTATAAGGGCCGAAACCTGCGAAGAGCCCGCCGCTCCCAGCTGCTTTGGAGCGTCGGAGCTCTGGGCGTCGTTCTGCAAGAGGGGGGGGGGGCTGGCTCCGGGGGGGGGGAACTCGCCATCGCTCGGACGTCCATCCCCTGTGTTTTTTTTGGTTTCGTGCGGTTTTTTTCGCCAAATGTCGGTTTCGTGCGTGGTTCTTTCGCCCAATGATCAGGGATGCTCCTCGACGGTTCTCGCCGAGAAAAAATGCTCAGGGGGGGAACTCGCCATCGCTCGGACGTCCATCCCCTGTTTTTTTTTTTTGTTCGGTTTCCTGCGTGGCTTCTTCGCCCAAGGATCAGGGATGCTCCTCGATCCCAGGCCCCCGACGTCGTGATTTTTTCACATCGTCGACCCCCAGAGGTCTGGACCCCTTCCCCGGGACCGGCTTTTCACCCCGAGTCGTTTCTTGACGCTTCCGAGGCCCAAGAAGGGCCCCCGGAGGCCGAAAACAGCGAAAAAAAACCCGCCGTGATTTTTTTCACGACGCCAGGAGGTCTGGGATGGTTCCCGCCGAGAAAAAATGCACACGTCCGAGCGATGCCGGGGGAAGCGCTTCGCTGGAGCCGGTGGTACGTCGACGGCATGGCCGGCGACGGGCCCCCTCTCGAGAGGGAGCGCGCACGCTCCCGGGCGGGGTGGTGGCGGGCGCTCGGGCCCCCGCCGGCGACGTGTGGGCGATCGGGGCCGCTGCGCTGCCCAGACCTCCTCCTCCTCCTCCTCCTTCCTCCTCCTCCCTCCTCCTCCTTCCTCCTCCTCCTCCTCCTCCTCCTTACTCCTTCCTCCTCCTTCCTCCTCCTCCTCCTCCTCCGCCTCCTCCTCAGAGAGCCGCAGAGCTGCAGAGCGCCGCAGAGAGCGCCCCAGACCTCCTCGCGTCGTGAAGAAAATCACGACAGGAGGTTTCTGTCGCCGTTTTCGCCCTCGGGGGGGGCCCTCGCCGGGCCTCGGGGCCGTCAAAAAAACACGACTCGGGACGAGAAGCCGGTGCCGGGGGAAGGGTCCAGACCTCTGGGGGTCGACGTCGTGAAAAAAATCACGACGTCGGGGCTCTGGGTAAGGCGAAGCCCCCGACGTCGCGATTTTTTTCACAAACGTCGACCTCCAGAGGTCTGGACCCTGTCCCCCCAGGACCGGCTTCTCGTCCTGAGTCGTTTCTTGACGCTCCCGAGGCCCGGCGAGGGCCCCCGGAGGCCGAAAATCGAGAAAAAACGCCCGTCGTGATTTTTTCACAGCGCGAGGGGCTCTGGGTAAGGCGAAGCCCCCCGGAGATCCGACGCTCCCAAAGAAAAACTTGGGGCGGCGGCGGGACTTGGGGCCACCCTCGGCCTCTGGGGGCCCTCGCCGGGCCTCGGGAGCGTCAACAGCACGACGCAGGACGAGAAGCTGGCCATATATATATATATATATATATATATATATATATGTACACATATCTACATATTTGTATATATATACATATATAGATAGATAGATAGATAGATAGATAGATAGATAGATAGATAGATAGATAGATAGATAGATAGGGCCGGCTTCTCGTCCTGAGTCGTGTTTTGACGGCCCCGAGGCCCGGCAAGGGCCTCCCGAGGGCGAAACCAGCGGAAAACCTCCCGTCGTGGTTTTTGTCACGACGAGGGAAGTGGTCCGGGCCTCTGCGGCCCACGCGTGGAAAAAAATTGAGCAGCCAGGTGTCTGCGATGTGGCAGGACGAGGACGAATTCGGATGAGGACAGCTCACGAATCTCTAATTATGATCTGGCGGCTCTGGAGGATGTATTGGGCGCCGCGGCCTTCTCAGAGCGTTCTGGGACGCTCTGAGACCCTCTGGAACGGATTCGTCCTTGTCCCAGCCCCGCCCGACCTGAGCGACCCCCCCCCCCCCCAAACGTCACCCCTGACCTGGGGGGGAGACAAAGAGACAGACCTCCGACGTCGTGATTTTTTCACAACGTCGACCCCCAAAGGTCTGGACCCCTTCCCCGGGACCGGTTTCTCATTCTGAGTCGTTTTTTGACGGCCCCGAGGCCTGGCGAGGGCGAAAATAGCGAAAAACCTCCCGTCGTGATTGTTTCACGACGCGAGGGGGTCTGGGGAGACAGACCTGCGCCGTCATGATTTTTCACAACGTCGACCCCACCAGGCCTCGACCCCCTCCCCTGGGACCGCTGTGCCATCCCGAGCCGTCGCTTGACGGCCCCGAGGCCCGGCGAGGGCACCCCGAGGCCAAACAAAAGCAGCGAACAAACACCCGTCGCGATCTTCGTCCTGGCCCGCGGGGGGTCTGGGCCACCGCTGCTCGCTGGACCTCCCGCGGAGGGGCGCGTCATAGCAAGGCCGATGAACAGCGAACCAACACCAGTCGTGATCATTGCCCTGGCCCGCGGGGGTCAGCGCTACCGCTGCTCGCTGGACCTCCCGCGGAGGGGCGCGTCCCCGCAAGGGCTTCGGGGAGGGGGGGGGGGGGGGAGGGGGGAGGGGGGGGGGGGGAGCCGAAGGGCGAGGAGGAGGGGGACGAGGAGAGGAGGAGGAGGGAGGAGGAGGAGGAGGAGGAGGAGGAGGAGGAGGAGGAGGAGGAGGAGGAGGAGGGAGGAGGAGGAGGAGGAGGAGGAGCAGGAGGAGAGGAGGAGGAGGAGGAGGAGGAGGAGGAGGAGGAGGGGGGCGGGGAGGCGTGGCGTGGAGTGGCGGGTCCCCTATCCAGACACTGCGACGGCTTGCTCCAGCGCTGACGCGGGCGAGTCAGTCCGGCGCCAACCTTCTCCTCCCCCTCCTTCTTCCTCCTCCTCCTCCTCCTCCTCTTCCTCCTCTTCTCCCCCTCCCCCCCTCATCTTCCTCCTCCTCCCCCTCCTCCTCCTCCTCCTCCTCCTCCTCCTCCTCCTCCTCAACCTTCACGCCCTCGCGCGCGGCGACGGGGGCGACCGACGGGGGCCCGAAACAGCAACGCGGCGAGGGCCAGAGCAGACACGAGCGGCGGAGGCGCCGCGACGCCCCCAGGGATCCCCCTGCCCAGACCTCCTCGCGTCGCGAAAAAATCACGACGGGAGGTTTTTCGCTATCTTCGGCCTCCGGGGGCCCTCGCCGGGCCTCGGGAGCGTCAAAAAACGACTCAGGATGCAAAACCGGTCCCGGGGAAAGGGTCCAGACTTCTGGGGGTCGACGTTGTGAAAAAATCACGACGTCGGGGGTCTGGGAGTCTCGGCCCCTTCCCCAGGACCGGCTTAACGTCCTGAGCCGATGTCTGACGCTCCCCAGGCCCGGCGCGGGCCTCCGGGGAGATGAGGAGGAGGAGGAGGAGGAGGAGGAGGAGGAGGAGGAGGAGGAGGAGGCAAGGGAAGAGGAGGAGGAGGAGGAGGAGGAGGAGGAGGAGGAGGAGGAGGAGGAGGAGGAGGCCGACAACGGCGAGAAACCTTCGCCCTGATTTTTCCCAATGCGCTGGATCTCTGGGCCTTGGCCCTTTGCACTGCGCAATCCCCCGGGGAAGGCCCGACCCTCGCCCCGGGGCTGGCGGCAGCGCGCGCACGGGGACGGCGCGAGGGGGGCGGTCTCCTTCGAGGCCCTCCTCCTCCTCCTCCTCCTCCTCCTCCTCCTCCTCCTCCGTTCCCTCCTGATCCTCCTCCCCCTCATCGTTTCCTCCTCCTCCTCCTCCTCCTCCTCCGCCTCCTCATCGTCCTCCTCCTCCTCGCTGCTTGTAGGGAGCCTTCTCCTCGGAAGCCTAGCCTCCGGGCCCTTGTGAGGAAACCCCAGCCGTCAAAGAAGCGCGCCGCCTTCCCAATGCCCCCCCCCCGCGCCACCCACTTTGCTCGCGCCGCCAATGGGGCCAAGTTTTCATCCCGGGTCGTCTTCGGACGGCCCCAGAGCCCAACGAGGGCCCCTGGAGGCCGCACAATCGGGGCGTTGACCTGAGGAACCCTGAATGAGGAGCGAGGCCCCTTTTCCCCATAAGTTAAACTTCGATTTCCCATGGCAAACCCAAGGCGAACTGTAAAACAATCGAGGAACACCGAACCCCTCGCCAACGAAAAGGGTTCCTTCTTCAGCGCCCCGACTGTACATGTTCGCCCGCCCTTCCCCCGCGGCGTGTTTTTTCGCTTCGAGACGCGAGCATGTCTGGGCATCTGTCCCCAACCCTCCCGCCTGGGGTCTAGGAAGGTGGGGTCGGCGGATAGCGGCGCATCGCCGATACATCGCAGATGCATCGGCGAGGCAAGGATGGAGAAAATCGGGCTCCACATCGAGCCGCATCGCCGTTGCATCGGCAATGCGGCGCGACCCTCCGACCCCATGTACCCTGACCCCATTTGGAAGGCCTAGAGTATCAGCCCCCCCCCTGGGAGCCGGGGTCCAACAAATTCAGCAGCGAGACCATGCTGCCGTCGCGTTCCATGCGGTGCAGCTGCTGCCGCTCCCGGGAGACGGGCCGCCAGCCGCCCTCCGCCTCCCACTTGGATTCCTGTCGGCGAGAGGGCGGGGGCGGCGTGGCATGGGGCATGGGCTTGATGATTGATTTGTAATATACCCAGAAACCCGACGCCCCAGAAAAATTGGACCGGGCTGGGCTTCGGGAGCGTCAGACAAAGACTCAGTACGAAACGCCGGCCGTAGCTATGTATGCACGTATATATGTATGTATGTAAGTACGCATGTATGTTTGTATGCACACATGCATGCATGCATGTCTGTCTGTACGTATGTATGCATGTTTGTATGCAAGCATGTATGTATGAATATAAACCGGTATGTGTGTATGCATGGATGCGTGTATGTATGTAGGTAGGTAGGTAGGTAGGTAGGTAGGTAGGTAGGTATGTGTATGTGTATGTGTATGTGTATGTGTATGTGTATGTGTACGTGTATGTGCGCCTTCGGCCCTGAGAATTGCACCATCCAGCGCGCCATGATCGAATGCAGGGAAAACATCTGGATTTTCGAAGCGAACTTTCAAACCTCTGGTCGTCTGGGCCTGATTGCCGGTCGGGCAGCTGCGGTGTCGCCGTCGCCGCCCCGGCGCCGCCTCGTCGCGGCTTCGCATGGCTCTGCACGGTGCTGCGTTGCTTTTCGCGCTGCTTGGCGTTCCGTTGAGTTGCTTCGCGTTGCTCCGCATTGTTTCTGCAATGCTCTGCGTCAACTTTAAGCTGCATCGTTTCGCATCGCGTTGTTCGGCAGTGTTCCGCATTGCTTCGCATTGCTTCGCAAAGGTTCGCATTGTTTGGTGTTGTTTGGCACTGCTTGGCATTACTTGTCCTCGTTTTGTGTTGCTGTGCATCGCTTTGCACCACATGTATTGCATTTCGTTCGTTAGTTGCACCACCTAGATTGCACCGCGTTGATTCTCTTTTTTTCTGAAAGCGAATTAGGACCCACCGGCACCCCAATGCCAGGATGATCGATCCCACCCTGGGGACGCGCGGTTTGAAATTATTCTGCCCACTCGTTCATGCGAGCTGTGAATTGATACCACCCCAGCAAGGCCAAATTCGACCCCCCCCCACCACCACCCCGTGCAAGCGCTATGCGCGTACGCTCGTTTATGACAAGTCCTCGAATTCGAACAACTCCCATGCAGCAGCTGGGCCGACATGCGCACACGCGCGTCGTCGCGCGCATGCCAGAATCCGTCAACATCCTTAGTCGTCGCAAAGACTTCGAAATCGAGCGCCCCGAGTACATACGAAACACACTGTTTCGCACCATGATTTGTTTAAAAGGTCTGCGTGCGCGCTCTTGCGAATTCTTCAGGGAAGCACTGGTTGTTCAACATGTTCATCACATGCGACCGAACGTTCCTCTCGCGCGCGCATGTCGAAATCACTCGGACGCCTTGCACGCGTGTTGAGGGGGGGGGGGGGACGATCCTTATCAAATAGCGACATGTGAGCCATTCGCGCCTGTCGGCCACGCGCGCATGCCGAAATACTTCCAAAACCTTCATCACCGATTTGTGGACACCATCGTCATCGGCTTGCGTGATCACCATCGGCGCCGTCATTGGCCTTGCCGCCGTCATCGTCATCGTCCTCACCAATATCGCTACAATCATCAACGTGTCTGCCTTTGTCGGCGTCGCCATGATACCGTGCCCGCCCGAAACACCCACTCGCAATGAAATGCCCACGCGTCACCGCGGCCTTCGAAACGCGCTGGGGAGTCCCCAGCGGTCAGGGTGTAATCACCGCGGCCACGTTGGTCGCGCCAGACTAGCTGGCGGTTCTGCACGCAAGTCTGCGCGGGCTAACGCGGCCGCAGCGACGTGCCACCCAGCGCCAAGCAGTCCTCGCAATCGCCGCCGAAGGGGTTCTGCAAACCAAGTTGCGGGCTGGTGGGCGGGATGATTGTGCGAGCAGTGGGGTTGACAAATTCAAGTTCGGCAGAGTGAAATGCACTACTTAGATAGCACCACGTTGACTGCAGCAAGTCCGCGTAGACAGCATGAAATCACTGTTTGGGGCCCACACTGGCTAACATAGTGTTCGTATCTTTGGGTGACGCCGACAAGCCTCTGGGGGACCGCGTCGCGACAAAATCACGGCCTCGGATGGCTGGGTCCGTCCAGCGCAACCCGCCAGCACGGAAGCTCCTTTTGTTTGTTTGTTTGTTTGTTCGTTTCGGCCTTTCCACAAGCCTGCAGTCCACGCCCACAGACGAGCGGCCGTAGGCACCCGCAGGAGCCCCGACAGCGCGCGGCGCCCGCCTAGTGTGTAAATATATATATATATATATATAGATATATATTATATATATGCATATATATATATATATATATATATATATATATATAATAGGAAAATTGTGTTGTATATATATATATATATATATAATAGCCAACTAATTGCACACTGCCGCCGAAAGGATCCCGATAATTCAAGCAGTGGCGAAACGTCCTGGCTCGTCCAGGGCGGTCGGCCCCTGCTCACCCTGACTCCAGATCCGCCCTACTTCGGCTATTTTCCAACCAGAAATTGCGTCGGAAATCCACCTAAAAGAAACCGAAAAAGGAGGGCGGAAATTTCTGCACCCAAGATGAAGTCGGGCGGAAATCCACAGAGGCAGGGCGGAAACAGCCACAGCAAAGCAGGGCGGACACTGGCATCACCGGGGCTTGACAAGCAAGGCGGAAATGCCAGGCCCTGCTTACGAACTTCCCCGCACGCAGCAGGGCGCATCCGGAGTCAGGGCAAGATCACTTCCCAACCCCGCTCGCTCCGGCGACCGGCTCCCCCTGGGACGGAGCCCCCCCCAGACCCCCGACGTCGTGACTTTTTCACAGCGTCGACCCCCAGAGGTCTGGACCTCTTCCCCGGGGCCGGCTCTGCGTCCTGGGTCGTTTTCTGACGCTCCCGAGGCCCGGGGAGGGCCCCCAGGAGGCCGAACATAGGGAAAAACCTCCCGTCGTGATTTTTCCACGACGCCGGGAGGTCTGGGCTAGGAGGAGGAGGAGGAGGAGGAGGAGGAGGAGGAGGAGGAGGAGGAGGAGGAGGAGGAGGAGGAGGAGGAGGAGAGGAGGAAGGGGAGGGAGGAGGAGGGAGAGGGAGGAGGGAGGAGGAGGAGGAGGAAGGAGGAGGAGGAGGAGGAGGAGGAGGAGGAGGAGGAGGAGGAGGAGGAGGAGGAGGAGCCCCCGCAGGATGCGGCCGTGGCCCGCCACCCGTCCCCGCCAGGCCTGGCACCCGTGGGGTCGCCACCCCGCCGGAGCCGGCCGCCGGGCGCGCGCCGCTCCGGACCCGCCCGCGCCCGGCTGGCCCGCGCTCCCGACACTGCTGCCGTCCGAAGGGGGGGGGAGAGGGGGGAGAGGCCGAAAATAGAGAAAAACCTCCCGTCGTGATTTTTTCACGACGCGAGGAGGTCTGGGTTTGTTGCTTCGCACCATCGGGCGCCCCCTGCCCCCGCCGCCGCCCCGGCTCGCGCGCCGGACGCGCCGCGGGCAGCAGGCGGAAAGCGCGGAGGCCCCCCGGACCTCAGGGCGGCACTGCTGCCGTCCGACAGGGGGGGGAGAGGGGGGAGAGGCCACCCGTCCACCCGACATCCCGATTCGTGCCCTCCCCAGACCTCCCGGCGTCGTGAAAGAATCACGACGGGAGGTTTTTTGCGCTATCTTCGGCCTCCGGGGGCCCTCCCCGGGCCTCGGGAGCGTCAACAAACGACCCGGGACGAAGAGCCGGTCCCGGGGAAGGGGTCCAGACCTCTGCTGAGATGAACGTCGGCTTTGTTAAAGCTTATGAGCTTTATAGCGAGTTGCTAAGGTTGGTACAACGTCCATACAACCCTTTCACAAAGCAGCAGCAAGCTGCTGTAGCTAGTGAGCTTGTTTATCATACTTAGCTAAAGCCAGCGTGGCTTTTAGTAGTTCAACATAAACTGTATAAAGGTTTACATGTTGCTAAACAGTTTATGGTTTATGTTGGATAACTGTGATAACTTTGATAACTCATTTATCTCATGTTAACATAGCTTTTTATGTTAGTTTAACATAGTTTTTTTCCAAAATTTGAAGTCCAAACACATTATGTTAAGGTAACATAAGTGTTCGAATAGGATAACATGATGCTCAGAATAGTTATAACATGACAAACTTTTTCAGAAAAAAGTTGATCTCGTTTTTCTCAAAGGCCCAACACAAGCAGATCTCCACGGTTCAACATAGCTCCCGATGCAAACCAAACGTTGATTTTTTTCGAACCAAACATATCTTCCGTTGCTAACCAAACATATGTTCCCTTTGCTAACTCAGCTCATGCTGGGAATCCAAAGAACATGCCCGAACCCATTTGTAGGCGACCTGGCTCTGAAAAACTCGGTGATTTTTACCTAGAGATAGCTCAGCGAACTCAACATCAGCATGCAGAGCAGATGTTCAACATTGAACTGTGGATGAGAGGTATGAGCATCGGACACGACGGTTTCGAGATATATTTTGTGATTTTGCAGTTGCATTTTGCCATCCGTAGTTGCAGGATTTGCGGCTTAAAGCATTCGCTATAGCTTCCAGCAGCTTTCTTCAGCTATGTCTCAGCTTACCGAAGCTTTCAAAACGGAGTTCCAGAAGATTCTGAATTTGAAAAAAATGAAGGCGAACGAGCATATGGATATGCTGATGACCTGCCTTCGGGCACACAAGTTGGCGTACACAATGAACAGCATCGAGCCGAAATTTTTTCTCGCGCACAGTGCAAACCGTGGAGGGCTTCTTCTGAGCCCGCACAATGTGCATCGCAATGCAGCTCGGATTCATGCAGCTGGTGCCGACATGCGCCAGCTATCAAATGCCGTTTGCATCGAGCTTGGAGTCAACTCCCCCCTCCGTTGGCAGCGCGTTGCTAAGAACAGGGCGCTGGTGGACAGAGCCGATGGGCTTCTAGCGCCAGTTAATGGCTCCGAGCGGTACGTTACAGTCGGGTGTGGACACACCACGGCTTTCTGCAAGTTGGCAGGGGTGCAGGGCAGGACGTCGGAGAAGTC